TTTTTCTTCCCAGGGACCAAATCTACTTTTACTTAATTACCGTCACCCTCTGAGGTTTTAGCATTACAGAAGGCTGCCAGGGCCCTGCCTCACAGCCGTCCATTACTTGCAAGTACCTTAGATACAAAAAGGAGGAAGGCACTGTGTGTTAGCAGATGCTCTGTGGGCTGTGAAGAACGGACAATATCAGTGTATCCTTGAGCACTTAACATAATGCACGTGGCGTTTCTTGGAGGCACCAGATAATTTAGCAGAGAAAGTCGTGTCATCTTTCATGCCTAATTAAAGGAGACACTAGGTGGTGCTGTAAACTAAGCAGGGTACACTGAAGGTAGCCAGGTGTGCTAGATATTAAATAAATCCTCTTCCAGAACTGCTCTCTTCTCTGCCTGCAGTCGGCTGAGGAGCTCCTGGCCTCTTCCCAGCATGGTTTATGGGAGACATTCACCCAGAATAATTTATGAGCCAAACACAAGTTTGTTTTACTGTATTTATGTCTATTTTAGAACTAAAGTAGCCTTGGTGGCTGATAACTGTGAAACCAGATACACATGTGAGTTTGAGATCAAAGGAACGACACAGATATTCAGGACAAAAGTCATTGTCTGTTTTGGATGGCTTATTTGGGGAAGGAAAATGACTGTTAATAGCTTGATTTACAGCCATGTCGTTTGACCTATGTTTGTGCAGTAAACTCAATTTACAAATCTGGGTGAAGTGAGATTTCATATACCGTCTTCCTGTCCCTGCCAGGATCCCTTCCAGAGGTACAGTCTCATGGGAGGTACTCTGGCATCAAGTTTGCATCAGGTAGACGTTTAATCAACATTCATTTCCAGGAGCACCTGCTTCATCAATGCCTTTTGATTCTCCCCTTATGTGGCCCTGCAGAAAGGCTTTCACAAATGGGCGATTATTGATTCATATGGGCTCTTGCAGTCAGCCACAGGCATAGGAAAGGCATGCAGAGTCATCCCACGTGCCACCGTGAACTGGCTTATGGGACATGAACTGTTTGGAATGTTTGCAAGAACTGAGTGTTTCTTCAGTAGCATCTTCATATAGTGATTTTTTTAAAAGGTCAGTAGAATATGAAGAAGTGTCTTCTTTAGAATCAATCCTTTAAAACCCCTGTTTGGAAGATTCAATTATTAGTCCTCATTAGAATTTAACAAAGGTTAAGTAAAATCAGATAATAGCCCTTAGTGATTTTATTATCTAAACAGATAAAATACTAATTTACTCACGAGAGTTTTTAAGAGTTTGCCCTAGAGTAGAATATTTTAGATTGTTTAAAAGTTTCAGTTTTGCTCTAAGGACTATGGAAAATGTGCAAGCTTGAAACATGTCAATACAGTGTTTGGATTTTTCATGAAAACTGTAACCTACATAAATGAATGTTAACAGACTAATGTGACTTTGTGTAACAGATTCACAGTTAAATGTACTAAAGTAGAAAGTAGTTTCACAAATACTGCACCTCAAAAGAATAAAAACATTTTGAGGACATGTGTTGATTTATGCCTTAGTGTCCAATTTACCTTTCTATTTATTTTGGATAAGGTCAGGATCACTTGGCTTCTCTAAGGCATACGGACTGCAGAGAGGGGTGATCTGGAACCACTGGGCTGGCCCAGAGAGCAGAAGGAAAGGAGGGCACAGCCAGGCACCTTCAGAAACACATGTAGGAAAATAACTCAAACGAAAATCCGCCTGAGGGAGTCAGTCCGCATGAGGACTCTAGTCCCATCTGATTTCTAAAGGAGGATGGAAGTAATGAAAGCAGTGATCTTTTTCTGCTAGGTCTTCTGCTGTTCTTAAATAAGTACAAAGCACAACTGTATGAAATGCCACTGCACCTAGGGTGGGCTCCCTCTGCTGGCCTGTCTGTGGCATCCAGGCCATACGTGCATTGCCGAAGGCTGATTGAGCTTTGTGCTCTGTCCAGTATTGATTCTTAAATGGCCCAGTAAGGTGCGGATGTTGACTTCATAGGGTGAGTTAGGACAGCACACATTTAATTGTTTTCAGAGCTTAAATTTAAGTGATTATGATATAACAGCCAAATATGAATATAAGACATTCTAGAACTTTCCTGAAGCCTCAGATTTGTGAACTCCAATATAACTTGTATAACTTGTGTATTTCCTCATGAGCTGAATACACTCTTGTCTCAGTAAGCACACTAAATCTCTCAGTTAGTGGCTGGCTCTCTTTGGGTAGCCATCACCCACTGTTTTTATCATTAGGCCATGTTGCATCCTCAGCTTACAGGTGAGGACTTAGTCTAAGACCCACCACCTCTCAGGAACAAGGGGAGTGCTGGATTGGGGGGTACCTGTCTCTTCAGGGATCTTGATTTTCAGTCAGCCCTCTCTTCCCCACCTAGCCCCTTGCGCCCCCCTCCCAAGTGCTGAGTGAGAGCTCTACCTACTGCCTTATGATGTATTAATTATTGATTGCATGGTAATTATTAACTTTTGATTCAGCACTTTTGTCCTTTTAGTATCTGGCCACAGGATTCATATTTGACAGCTCCAAACCTGAGCTCTAGCAGCATCTTTCTCCTCCCCATGCAGGTCCTGCTCGCTGACTGCGCCAGGTCAGGTTTGGGTCCGTCTCCATCCTCCCTCCCATTGCAGCCTGCTTCTGCTCCTGCCCAGCCCCAGCCTCTGTCCTTGCTTCCAGCAGCAAGGCACTGGGCAGGCCTCCTCTCATCACTGCTATTGCAAAAGCACCTGTCTCTTCCTCGGCCCCCTCAGAACCCTCATGTGACCTGTCTAAAGCCTGCTGCGTGTGATGGCCCTGGTCCAGGCCATGCTCAGCTCCCTTGCCGTGGCCTGGAGGGTAAAGGAACCAGGAATCTGTGGCCTTTCTGCTTCTGTCTAAATCTTCACATATCTGTGCTCTGCTCCTACACCAAGTGGCCAAATGCCCTTCCTGCTTCTCTCCTTGGGGGTCCCCCATCCCCTTGCCCTCTGTGCCCCTTCTTCCAGCAGGTTCTTGTTGTTATGGTTTTGTTCTGTCTTCTTGTGTCCTTTGCCTCATGAGATGGGGAACCATAGGCAAAGGCATCTGAGGCTTGTGTTGGGGGCACAGGTTGTGTGGGGGGCACAGGAGAGGCAGTGAGGCACTGTGTGCTGAAAGGTCTGTGAGCTCGTTTCATGAGTGCACCTGGTGAGGTCAGATTGGCAGCTGCTAAGCTTGTTTTCAGATTCAAGGTTGCACCTCGAGCTTGCATGAGCTTGGGCAAGCTGCTCAACTCCTCCAGGTCTGTGTCCTTAACTTTTAAACCAGGTTCATAGTCACCACTTTCTATTGTTTTGTAAGGAATAAACAAAATAGAACTAACAAATAACATTCACTGAGCATTTCTCATGTGCCAGGCTCTGTTACAGAGCAAAGAACAACTAATTTAGCCCCTCACACCTGCCCTGCAGGTGGCACCATTGCCCATCCTGTGACCGAGCCAGAGCTGCCTCCGGGCCTAGAGCGGCAGGAACCAGGTGGGTGTCAGCATGTTGTCTTCTGCCAGTGCCCTCCCTGCTGGTTCCAAGTTTGTGGCCTTGGGTGTGGGGGGGTCTTGCAATCTGCGCCCTAAGTTTCTTGTGGGTTAAGTGGGTGTCACATGGGACTCTCAGGGGAGCACGAGGCTGAATTAGATGACTTGCAAAGTTCTGGGCTCAGTTGTGTTGCTGTGTAACTAAAAAGTGACAGCTCTGAAAACACAGACAAAGGAAGTAGGTATTATTCGAGTGTGTTGGGTTGCAAATAAGAGAAACTAACTCAGACTAGCTTTAGCACAACTATAGGGGTGGAGGAATGTCTTTCAGAGCTCCTGGCAGGAATGCAGCCAAGCCTGAGAAAGGATGGAGATCAAGTCACACACAGCTGCCCAGCCCCCAGTCCACAACCCCAGGCCCCATCTCTGTCTCCTTCCCTGGCTCCCTCCCCCATCTCTGAGTGTGCTGGGTTATATCCCTCATAGTGTATTCACCGGCCCCTCCCATAAAGGGAACCAACAGGATGTGCTTTTATATGTATATTGTGGGAGGAGTTTATTTTAGGAATTGGCTTACATGACTCTGGAGGTACTAGCCCCAAACTGGCGGGTGGGTGGGCAGGCTAGAGGCACAGGGAAGAATTGCAGCAGTTCAAGTGTGGAGGCAGAATTTCCTCTTCCTCTGCAGATCTCAGTCTGTTCTCCCAAATCCTTCAACTGATTGGGATTGGGTGAGACCCACCCACCTTGTGGAGGGCAATCTGCTTTACTCAAAATCTGCTGAAGTAAAAATGTTAACCTCATCTGAAAAATGCTTTCAGAGAAGCATATAGAATCATGTTTGACCAGATACCTGTTTGCTATGTCCCAGCCAGATTGACATAAAATTTCTCATCAGGGTCTCAATGCATCTCTTTCTGTTCTTTTGTGTCATTCTCTCTGGCTTTCTCTGCACCTGCCTCAGGCCTTTTGTGAAGCCAGACTTCCTCAGGCCAGCCGAGGGAAGCCGAGAGGCGCCTGGAGGCCTGCAGTAGATGTGCCCTCTGCAGCTGCCTGTGCCAGCTGAGGCTGCTGTCCATGTTGGGTCTCTGTTTCACTTCTCGGATCTCAGGGAAAGGAGAGGTCCCGATATTGGCCTAATTAGAATGTCCACCTGTGATCTGGCCCGCTGAGGCCGTGCCACCATGGCTGTGGGGTGCCCACCCACGCTGGTGGGGATGTGAGCTGAGCAGATGCCCTGAAGGGGTCTTCTGAACAGACAGGTGGAAATGTAGTTGGGCTATAATTACTGAATTGCTTCTGGAATATCAACAAATATGAATAAATGTAATACATATGGTTCCTTATAGAAACTTGTACTTACCTCCAGGATGCTTCTGTGCCTCACACAATATTATTAAATGCTCTGAGTATCGGGACCTGATCACCAAGATGCCCATTTGGCTGTGACCCCTCACCGCTGCTAAAGTCTCTCTTGCTTTTGCCTTGTAATGCCCAGAGGATGACGTGGACCTGGAGGCCCTGGTGAGCGACATGAACGCATCCTTGGAGAGTCCGTACTCGGCCTGTAGCATGCAGTCAGAGACGGCACCCCTCCTCCAGAACGGCCCGCACGCCCGCAGCCAGCCGCCATCCTCAGGAACAAGGTCCCTGAAGCCGCAGGTGTCCCCGAAGCAGAAGGTGCAGCGTTCTCAGCCTATGCACATCCTCGCCGTCAGGTGGGACCTGGGGCCTCAAGGGCCTCACCTCTGAGAGCAAGCAAGTGCCATCAGTCAGGACACTGCTCTCTGCTGAGCACATTGTTCCTTTCCTCTGTCCTGCAGGGCAGCACCCCAGGGGGCTGTAGTACCCTTCAGATCAGATAACTTCCACTGAGCACTTGCTTGGTGCCTAGCCCCTTGCCAGGGGAACAACATGCAGGAAAACCGTCAGAGGAGAATGCTCTGGGAAAAAGGAGAGAATGGCCAGGCAGTTGATGGAGGGCTCCAAGGCTCGCTGCCCAGAGCGGGGTCTGGGGACCAAGAGGGGCTTGTCAGAAATATGCAGCCTGGGACATCATATTCTGCAGGGGGCTAAGATGAGAGGCCACAGCCAGTGGAATCTGGCTAGAGGGAGGGTTCTGGGAAGCAGAGGACCGTGCCTTGCAGGTGGTGGGTCTCTGAATTGGGCATTGAAGGGTACATAGGAGCCCAGGGCTGGGGAGACTCTGTGAGCGGAAGAGATGGCCCTTGCTTTTGCAAGTGGTAGGACCTCCTTTTTATGGCTGATATTCCATTGTATCTGTATGTCACATTCTCTTTACCCATCCCTCTGCCAATGGACAGTGTGGTCGGTATGCTAAGTAAATAAGCCTGTCACAGAAGGACAGATAGTACTTGGTTCTGCTTCCATGAAGAGTCTAAGATAGTTAAACTCTTGGACGCAGAGAGTGGGAATGGTGGTTTCAGGGGGCTGAGGGAGGGAACTGGAGGGTGTTAGCCAAAGTGTCGCGATTCAGTTCCATAGGATGAATGAGTCCTAGGGATCTGTGAGGCAGCTTCCAGCCCACAGTCCTGAATTGTGTCCTGAAATGTGCTCAGAGGGAGGTCTTAGAAGCGTCTCCCTCACAAGCAACAACTATAATAAATAGGGAGGAACATTTGGAGGTGGTGGGTGTGTGCAGCAAGGCTGTGGTCACGGGTCACAGTGTGTTCTTACTCTAAACTCTTCCAGGTGCCTGGTACATGTGCACAGCTTTTTGTGTGTCAGTCATACTTACAGAGTGGTTTAAAAAAAGACAATCCCAACAGGTGGGGGCCAGGTCTGGAAGGTCTTGGTGGGCCATTCTTAGGGGAGAGACGGGGAAAGGATTTGACCAGGCCAGTGAGGAGCTCCCATTTGGGCTTCGGCAAACATTTCTGCACCCTGGGGCGGAGCGTGCTGGACTGGAGCACGCCTGATTTGGAAGGTGCTCCCGGGACCAGCTTGGCGACGGCAGGTCCTGACCTGGGAAGAAGAGGGATGGATGGGATTTGTGGGCCTGGGGTAGTGGGTGGTCAGAGGGGTCAGCGGTGGCAGTGGGTAGCCTCATGTTGAAGGCCGTCTGAGGGGAGAGCTTGGTGAGATCAGGCTGAGAAACTCTTGGCGGCCCCTCCCAGGTCTGGGCTGGCCCTGGAGGGTTTCCGGGTGGGGATGGGGGCTTGAGGGTGGCAGGTGGAGGCCTCCTGCCTCCCCGGGCTTTCTGTAAAGTGTGTGCCACATCTTGGGCCTTGGTCAGGCTGGGGTTATTCAACGCTGCATCCTCAGAAACCTCATTGGCTTTCATGGGTGGCAGGGCCGCTACACTCCCAGAAACTTCTGAGAGGCTCTTTCCAGTCTGACAGCGAGGTCTTCTGCAGCCAGGAAACCCTCCCACCCGAGGAAGCTTGCTCTGCTTAGGAGGCAGAGTGAACCTGGAGGAGGGGTGGTGGACCACCTCTCGGCTCCCTGCCTCCTGCCCATTCCAGAGTGTGTCCCGATTTGCTTTGTAGAGCATCACCTGAGAGCTGTTAGTGCCTGATGAGTTAAGTCTGGAGGAGACACTCTCTTCTCTGTGAGCTTTTCTGGGTGTGGGGGCCTGTTTGTCGCTGTTCATGGAGGCCTTCGGGAGGCCCTTGGGAAGATGGGAGGGCAGCCCACGGTGACAGTGACCAAGGCTGGGTCGGGGTGGAGATCGATGGTGCCAGAAGGCCTGGCTTCCTGCCATATAGTTGCCCTAGATCTATAAGCCTGTGCTTCTGGCGGAATTGGGCCATGTGCCCAGGGGGTTCCCGTACCAAGTCCCTCAGGGATGCGGGGTTGCACCCGAAGGCAGCAGGCGCCTCCCCTTCCCGTGTGGCCTGGGCCTCACCTCTGCTCTTGTCACACAGGTAACATTGCTTCTTACCTTCAGGTGCACCTAAAAAAATGAGGTGACCGATAATAGGATACCCTGTTTATTTTGTAAGACCATGTGCTGGGCACTTGCTGTGTGCATCTCTGTTGAGTCTCATTTACAACAGTCCTATGAGATGGGTGGTGTGGTGACCCTCGAGGAGGGTGAGGAAACCGAGGCACTGGGGGGAGCAACTTATCCACAGCTGGTGAGTGGGAAGCCCAGATGCAAACCCAGGCTGAGGGGTCCTGAGGAGCGTCACACTGTGAACCCTTTGCTGCTGTGGGGCCACAGAGCAGGGCCTGCAGCACACGTGGAGTACTTCCCGAGATTGTCACCTGTTCTGAGAGGTGCAGAGCAGAAGCTGAGGAGGTGGGAAGGGCTTCCTGGTTCGGGTTGCTGGTCCCTGCAGACCCTGGAGGGAAGGAATGGCTGTGGTGGGAGGAGGAGGGTGGCTAACCTGGATGCACAGGGCAGCATGGCCCTGCGCTCTTGTCCTGTCCCAGTTCCCAGCTGCCTGCCTCGAGTCACCTTTCCATGTCCCCGTTTGTAATTGTGAGGGGGCGCATCTGCTGGCTGTTCACATCTTGAATGTTTTTTTTCCAACTTTGTGTAATAATGTTCAGTTTTGGGCAGTGTTTATGAACTGCTATAAAGTCAGCATGGGGCTATTTTTTTCAATTAAAAATTTTTTTATTGAGGTGAAATTCACATAACATGAAACTAACCACCCACAGTGTGCAATTGAGAGGCATTTGGGACATTCCCAGTGTTTTGCAGCCAGCACATCTGTTTAGTTCTGGAACACTTCCGTCACTTGGGAGGAAACCCCCTGCCTCTTCAGCAGTGTCTGCCCGTCCGCCCTCCCCAGCCGACCCTGGCACCTGCCAGTCTTCCTTCTGTTGCTGTGGATTTACCTCTTCTTGGTGTTTCATAAAAATGGAATCTTATAGTATGTGACCTTCTGTGTCTGGCCTCTTTCATGTAGCATAATGTTTTGCTTTTGTTTTAAATAAAGACTATTTTTTAAGAACAGTTTTAGGTTCACAGCAAAATTGAGAGCAGTGTACAGAGATGGCCCACGCACCCTGTGCCCCGTGCATGGACAGCCTCTCTTTACCAGCCTCCCCTCCCCAGCAGGCCAGTTGTTACAGCCAATGAACCTACCCTGGTGTGTCGTCACTGTCAGGTTCACAGTTTACGTGAACTCACCCTTGGTGGTGTGCACTCTGAGGGTTTGAGCAAGTGTACAGTGACATGATTTTGTCATTATAATATCACACAGAATGTTTTCACTGTCCTAAAAGACACAGGACTTTCTTAAATGCTCAAGATGGCATATTAAAGAGAGAAGCTTTTGTGAACAGTTGCATATCAGAATATCAGTATCTTGCTCTGTAAGTCAGAACAAAAGAAAACTCATTCTTCAGTTGTTTAGTGGTCATTTGGGGGCAGGAATATACTGAAGTGGGCGTGGCCACATCCACTCTCTTACTCTGTAGGACAGGGGACAGATGTGTCATTTGAACACTTTGCCGTGATGGAAGCTATTATGTGGGATTTGTTAACATTTAAAAATAAGCATGTTTTCAAGCCACTGCCCACTATAGTAAGGGCTTTCCTACTTTCACAGCACTGAGTCCTTCAGGCCACGGGGTGCCCCTGATATAAATCAGCGCTCCTTTGCCTGGTCCCCATGCAGTGGCCAGGCAGGCCTCCTTTAGAATCTGGGTGAACAGTAAAAAGGGAACATATGAAATGGTCACAGTGTGCATTTCTCTAGTGGCACATTTTCTAAGAAGCTAATGGATCATTGAGTCCAACTGTAAAATTAGTCAAAAAATTACTTGAAGACACAGCCCACATGAGGGCTTTTGAGGAGTGTGTCAACAAGAAAGAATGGGAATGCTGAGCAGCGGCAGGGTCCCATTTGCAACTTGGGGTTTGTTCCCTTCCTGCAGATGGGCATCTGTCCATGGGGCGGTGTGGCCCATGGGCAGGCAAAGTGGCTCTGCTCACAGAAAGCCCAGGCTATGTGGGCAGGAGGCCACCAGCAGGGCTGTTGGGAAAGGAAACATTGTTTCTACTTTGACTTTGAACTTGATTTATCTGCCGTTTTTTATATTGCCTCTGATGAGTCATCCTGTGTGTGTTTTGCCTAGTTGTGTGGCAAGTGAGTTTCCCATTCTTGAGAGGAAGGAGCTGGCCCTGGAGAGATGCCAGAGAGAGAGGGGCCGCTCAGCAGTGGCTGTCAGTGGGGTGGGGAGGGTATTCCGAGGTGGCACAAACACAGGCTTTTGTGCTCCACAGAGGATAGCTACGTGGGACATTTATTTCCGATCAATTCAGTATTTTCAACAACCTTTTTGTATAAATAAGCACTCATTCCATAATTCAGATGAGGACACATGGAGCCTCTTTTGGTATTTCAATGTAGTCAGAGAAATGTTCACTTCAAAGTCACTGAAAATAGTTGTTCTCATGAAAACGCTCTTACCACAAAACCTCTTCACACGTCAGGTGTTTGCTGAACAAAGATGACAGGGTGTTTGGAGAAAATGCCTGGTACGTGTCCTGCACTGAGCAGCATTTGTGATTTGAGTGTGCACAGAGCTTCTCCTCGCCTGGATGTGTGACGAGTGAGGGAACCTGTATCCTTTGAGTCTGAGAAGAGCAGCTTTTTAAAAAAACAAGTTTGTGGTAAAACATGTAACATGAAACCTACCATCTCAGCCATTCTGAAGTGCACACTGGCACAGTGTGATGTGCAGCATGTGCAGTCAATAGTCAATGCCCAGAGTGTTTTCATCCTGCACAACTGAACATCTGTCCCCACTGAACACTGACTCCCAACTACCCTTGACTTCGTTCTACTCTGAGTCTATGAGTTTGACAACTCCAGGGACCTTACAGAAGTGGAATCATACAGGGCCCGACTTCTTGTGACTGGCTTATCTCACTCAGCACAGCATCCCCAGGGTTCACCGGTGGTGTAGCAGGTGGCAGAGCGCTCTTCTGTGGTGGGGCTCAGTATTATCCCCCTGCCCATATGCGTTTTGTTTATCCATTCACACATCAGTGGACTCTCGGGTTGCTTCCACCTTTTAGCTGTTGAGTGACCCTGCTGTAAGCAAGTGCACACCTATCCATCAGAGTCCCTCCTTCAGTTCCTTTGGGTCCATTCCCAGTAGTGGGACTGCGGGATCGTGTTGGGGGTATGGCAGCTTTTAATGAGTGGTTGTCTCTTTCCTCCCAGGCGCCTGCAGGAAGAAGACCAGCAGTTTAGAACCTCTTCTCTGCCGGCCATCCCCAACCCTTTCCCTGAGCTCTGTGGCCCGGGGAGCCCCCCTGTGCTCACACGGAGCTCCTTATCTCCAAGCCAGGCTGCTGCGAAGCAGGTGAGCAGGCTGCTTGGCTGTGGGATCAGGACAGACCAGGTGGCTCATTCCTTTGGGAAAAAGGGAGGGAGATGGTGGGATCTGCGCTCTTAGCTCTTCTCGGCGACTATGCTTGTTGCCTTGTGAGGCTTTTAAATTTACTGGCCAAAGTTCCATTTATTAAGTCAGGGATGTATCTGTTTTAGAAAGTCTCCTACAAAAGGTTAAGAAGTAATAACAATTTGGTGCTTCTCTGAAAAAATGTCACCACTGCCTCATCTTCAATACCCATTAATTCTGAAAAAATGAAGTATTATTAAACTCTTGCCTTTCTTGGGTGCCAGTACTTCAGTGTAGTTGAAGAGTTTCCATTTTACATTTCTGACTTGGAATACGGTCTTTGTAAAGCAGAAGGATTTTCACTTGACCCAGAAGGTGACAACCACCTTTTTAAACTAATGGTTTCTACCTGAAGTAGGTGTTTGATAGCTTTTGTCTCCATGGGAAGACACAGGGGCACAAAGAGTTTCAGTGACTTGCCCAAGGTCAAAATGTCAGCTGTCAACTCATCAGAGAAATGCACTGGCAGCCCCATCCCTCCAGACTGGCAGGGCTGGGCCAGGGTGGGTCGCAAGCCCAGTGGAACAGACCCCTCCTTCACACTGTAGCGTGGGGGCAGTGGTTTACGTATAGTAGTAATGACACTGAGCACACAGTAGCTACATATCACAGGCATTGAGTGATCTCTACATGCCAGGCATGCTTTAAGTGGTTTATATTTGTTTATTTGTTCATTTATTCCTCAAAGCAACTGTAAGAATTTGGAACAAATGCTATTTCTCTTCTGAAGTTGGGAAACAGGCCCAGCTACATGGTGGAGCTGGGCAGGATGCAGTGTGAGCTGTGGGGCAGGCCAGCACCCAGTGTGGTAGGACCTGACGTTAGGGTCTAGGGCCTCTGATTTTAGCCACTGAACTAAGTGCTTCCTGGGACCATCTTTTTTTTCAACAAGTATATTTCAGAAGTCCCTTTGCCTTTTCCGTTAGAATCACTCTCTTCTCATACTCCCTATGCACATTTCCACCTTTGCCATCCTCAAGTGTGATGTGCCACCAGCCCTTTTTCTCTGCATATCTGTCCACCCTGTGCCACCCAGGGCTGCGCTCTTGGGAGACAGACCCTGCTCCTAACGCTTGCCAGCTCTCGAGCGCTGCTCCTGCTCTGACCTCGCTCCTCTGGAGCAGGCCGCATGGTCCCACCGTCAACACTTAGAAGGTGCGTCCCTGTCCAGGAGCGTCTGGCTGGGCTGCAGCACTCTGTCATGTGCCTGTGGTACGCTGGGATGTCGGCCTCCCTGGTGACCTTCTGCTTCACGTAAGGGTCTAGACGAGCTGTCTGTGGATGGGCCAGTGAGGTTGTTTACAACGTTACCCATCCTAAAATAAGACCAGGAAATATTATCTGGCTCTCACAGCAGTTGGCAAGAAAAGGGGCCTCCACCCCCATGGACTGTCCGACTCTCTAAGCAGAATCAGGAAACCCTGGAACTCTGCCTGCTGTTTTTCTTGGGATTGGAGTGAGCTCCCCACAAGAACATTGCTTTGGTGTCTGTTGTTGTTGCCAGATTCCTCCAGCCTGCTGGCACCAGCAGGCACAGGAAGGATGCTTAGCCCTTGGCACTACTTGTAAACAGCCAGTCTTCTTCATTGTTTTTTAACTGGTCAAAGGGACACTTTCTTCAACTGCACCAGGTTCTGACTTCTGATCTTGTGAGGCACGTGTCTTGTTAGGGCTGCTGGCAGTGATCTCCAAGCGGCCTCTGTTCCCTGCCACATCTCTTGGACAGGAGTAGCCACTGTGGGGCAGAGAAGTCAGGCCCCTTCTTTGTCAGTTGCCTGAGGAGAAGAGAAATCTGATTCTTTCTCCTCTGATGCAAAGTCAGAGGAAGCTGTGGGTCAGCGTCCACTCGAAAGTTCTGAAGTGGCATAGAAAGATGCCTGCACTCAATGTGTGGGGCCCACATACCCACTGTGTCCACAGAGGGGAGCTGGGCAGGTTGGGGGAGACAGTGGATCGCCTCTCTGGAAGGAAGCTCGGCCTGGTGAGCCCACAAGAGGCCCCTCCTGCTTACAAGTTAGAAGGGAGGAAGGGGAGGGAGAGTCACGTGGCCAGGTGGGCGGAAAAAGCCATTCCTCCTGGAGGTACCGTAGTCACAACACTCCAGATGCCCTCTCGAAGAGGCAGGGGCCTTGCCAGACAGGGAATCCCCTTTCCAGGTTTCTTTTCCCAGGGCCCTTGGCGACCACCCAGTGGGGCAGGAGTGGTCAGGTGTGGTGTCTTGGACCCCAGCTCCATAGAGCAACCACCATGATGTGGGCTCGGCTGCGTGCAGGCGACCTGCTCACAGCGGCTTCCCACCACCGTGTGGCACCGTGTGGTGGGACAGCCCCTGTGGCTGTGGACTGGCCGCTCTGGGTCTTGCTGAAGGGGAGGGAGAGGAAGCTTTAGCAGGTGCTGTCGAGGGAGGAGGCCCTGAGTGCCCCACAGGGCAGCCCTGGGGAGTCCTCTGGGGTAACCTCCCTACCTTCAGTTTCATCTCGGAGCCCTGCTGTGCACCACGTGGTTGCCACAGGAGCCCTGCTCCTCAGGTACTTAATGACCAGCCATCCCAGGTGGAGGCAGATGGAGAAATTGGTGGTCAGAGGGGTGACAGCAGCGAACTGATAGAACTCCTTCCTCTGCCAAGAAGGGTCGGAAATCTTCGGGGGCCACCCTGAAGCCTCCATGATGGGTGTGCAGAGGGCACAGATGGCTCTGGGTAGGCTCCAGTCTCCCACCCGCTGACCCCCCCCCCCACCCGGGTGTGTGTCCTTCCTACCAACTCGTCCCTGCCTGAGCTGACTGTGGCTGGGCAGTGCTTGTGCGCCCTGAGAATCCACATGCTGTGGCCCTGGGGTGGTCAGGCTGGCCTTGGGGAGCTGAGGAGGTTGAGGTGAGGTCATGGGGTGGGGTCCTCATGGTGAGATTAGCACCCTTATGAGACCAGCCGCCAGAGCTGCCCACACACCACCTGAGGACTTGGCAAGACGGCAGCTTCCGAGGGCCGGGAAGGAGTCCCTCCAGAACCCCACCCCTGCTGGCACCCTGACTGCATACTCCCAGGCCCCAGACCTGTGAGGCACCAGCGTCGGTCCTTTGAGCCCCTGGCCTGTGGTGCTGTGAGGGCCGCCGGAACCCACTGAGCTGCGGGAGCTGCTGAGATTCTTACACACATCCTGCTTCCCGAGCAAGGGAGCCCTACGCTGCGTGCAGGTGAGTGGCTCGGCCCACTGGAAATCAGTGCTTGGAGAGGAGCCTCTGACAGCCCCCTGCTCTTCCCCCAGGCTCTGCCTGCCCCGTGTGGACTCCCCTGGCTCTGACATAGAGGAGCTGGGCTGTGGTGCCCTCCCCGAGTTCCCGGGGAGCCCAGCCAGTGAGTGGAGTTCCACTCTGGCTTCTTCCCAGCCCGGCTGGGCACCACCTGCCCTGTACCTGCTCCCATGCCTGCTATCCCTGACTGAGGCCAGCCTGGAGGCAAACCCTCCAGTGATGCACTGTTGAGTCAGCGGCCTGGTGGAACGGAACCCCTGTCATCAAGTTGGGGGGGGCATCTGGAGCCTGTGAACCGAGTGCACCTCCATACCCTAGTGACAGTGACGTCTGGGCCTCTGGCCAGGTCCTCCCAGGGTTCTGGTCCATAATCTTGTGAGAGGTTTTAGGGATATCTGCCTTACAGACTTCCTGGGTTTTCTGCTTATTTTATTGTGTTATGTTAAAACAGCAACTTTTGGATTATTTGTTAATATTTTAAGCTAGTCTATGATTTGTTTTTAGCTTAGTTTGTACTCTCTGACTTCACCAGTGAAGTGCAGCATGCCCATGGACCCCCATTCATTCACATACAGTAAAATGAGATACTGAGTGCGGTTCGTGTTGAAAGAAACACGTCCCTGTGCCCTGTCAGCCTAGGAATGGAAATGATGCAGTTTTAAGTGGCATCTGTTAGTGACCATGGTCTTCCTGGATTGTTAACACAGATGAGTGTATCTTATCTGGGGGTTTCTGGGGCAGCATGGTGCCATCAGTTATGTAACGACACTTCATATATCTCCTGGTTTAATTAAGTTGTTGAACAGCATCTCCTCACATATTTACCCAAGATGCATATGCCTGCGAACTTCTGAGTGATAACGTTCTTTCCCTTGGAGGGTAGTGAAATAAAATTAGTATCAGGGAAGTGAATTTTTGTGGTGAAAATCAACAAGGCATTTTGAACTGCTTTGTGACTCACTTGGAGCAGACAGGCTGTCATGTGGGTGAGGACAATTACTGTAGCAAAGATTTATGAGCTGTGAAATCAGGCTCCATGCCTGACTTGAATCCCAGGTCTGGTCCATACTATTAGGCTTCTGTGGGGAGGGTCGCTTTGCTCTCTGGGCCCCAGAGGACCCCAGGACGTTGGACCATCTTCATATTTGGCCAAGTGTGGGTCAGACCTGCTGGGAGCTCTGCTGTCTGAGTTGTTTTTGTGTCTGCCTGGAACTCGGCACAGCGTGCATTTATCTGGCCATGGCTCTGAGCATCTACTTAGTTGCTTGACCCAGTGCCAGTGGCAGAGATCCAACTGAGGGTGCAGTGCCTACCATCTGATCTGCATAGTATTCAGGACCCTTGTCTTTCTGGCAAGGCCTTCCAAATTGAGGATGTGGTCGTTCTGGAGCCAGCCTGAGGGTGCACTTTTGGAAGTAAGAGGGCAGAGGCTAGAGAAGGGCTGAGCAAGCTCTGGGCCTGGCCCAAGTCCTAGGTAATCAGAGGTAAATACCTGACCACCCCCCTTCAGGGGACCCAGTTACTGTTTCCCTCTGTTGCATTTCTGTGTCTTGGAAGAGAGAGAAGGCTGGCACAAACTCCTGTTTTCTCCCAGAGTGCTGGGTGAGAGGCAGCGCGGGCTCTGATAGGGAAGCCCCGTTGCTTGGGGATAG